ACACACACACACACACACACACACACACACACACACACACACACACACATCCACAGAGGCACACACAAGCTCTGCATCTTTAAAGCGAAAAAAATAAAAAAATAAAATAGCAGCATCAGAAAACAAGACAAGCAGCCCAGTCATAACTGTGGGATGAGAAGGACTACCTCCCTTTCAGTTTTGGAGCGGTTCGGAGCGCATTGGGCATCAGCTGTTCGGTGCTGGACTCTCATTGCTGGAAGTCGGGGCTGAGGCAGTCACATGACAGATCTGGAGGCAGAGAGCTGGAGAAAAGGCACAGCATTCCGCCTCGCACCGCCATACTGTATTTTGAGCCATTTCACATTTTTATTGCAACATTTTACTCCCGCTCGGTGAGTAGACCTTTTCCACTGTGGCACCTTTTTTTTTCTTCCAATAATATTTTTTCTAAGCAAAAATTTTTTTTCATTATTTTTATTTTTTTATTTTTATTTTTTTGCGTCTTTTAAATTTGCCCTCTCTTTTTCCCCCCTCCTCCTGTTTTTTCTCCTTTTGCTGGTGTTTGAAATGAGCAGTGACATGATGATGATGATGATGATGGTGGTGGCGGTGGTGGTGGTTCCGAGCGTTTTTCCCCCCACATCCACGGGCTTCAAGTTTTTAGCATGCAGTTTATTCTGATCAGAAGGGGTTTGAGAGGGGGGCTTCAGGAAGGCTCGACTTGCAGTTTTGTTTTGAAGCAGGGTTTTTGTCAGCACTGAGATTTTTCACCCTCAAAAAACATTACTGGTGGTTTTGAAACATTTTTTCTGAATATTATAATTTTTTCGGTTGTTTCTGTCGACTTTCGCTGTTGCTATGCTTTGGTTTGCATTTTGCAGGGTTGTTTGTTGCCTTCCAGTTTTGTGATTTTATCTTTGCTTTACACTTTGTTCCTCTTTTCTTTATCTTAAAAAAGGGAATCATTTTTAAAAGCCTCTTTTAACCTGATACTTTTCCTGCAGCTCAGCTCACAGGTTTGTGTTTTTTTTTTTGTTTGTTTCTCTCTTTTTTTTTTCTTTTTGTTTTGCTGATGGCAGTGTCAAGTATTTTTGGATGTTATTTTTCTTCTTTTTCACAAAAAAACTAGATGATGCTGGGTGGACGAGGGGAGTTTTGATTCTTGGGAGAGTTCAATTCGTTCTTTCTTTTCTATATCAAGGAGGATGAACAGACAGTTTCCCTCTTGCAGGTACACAATAAAATGCTTCTGTGTGTTTTGAAATAAAGTTTGAGGTGACAGATATGCACCTGTGGCTGGTTTATTGCTTTGCAAGAATGGCCAAAACGTTCATTAGAGACAATAATTCTCCATCAATGTTACCTGAAGGTTACAAGCTGATTTCTGCGTAATGCTTCATAAAAACAAGCATCAGATCAGTGGATTGCAGTGTTTTCTTTTGACTTCTGAGGAATAAATATAAGTAGCTGCACTGAGATATTGTCAACAAATGCACCTAATTATGTATCAAAGATTTAAAAAAAGTGCACAGACTGAATCCATATATCGATTATGAGACAGAATTTAAAAGCTCCTCTCCTGCTGCACCAGGCTTTTCTTTAAACTGCAGCTGGCTAAGAAGTTGTGAACATAAGCAGCGCGGCTATATGTCACAAGCAAGTATCTCTCTGCTCCTAAGTGGCTTCCTTACCGGATGGACAAACTCAAATCAGCTTTCCAAGCCCCCCTGATACATACATATATGCTGTTCAATCAGATTTTGCCTGAAATGATTGGAGCTGCAGACAAGAGTATAATCCCCCTGGGGTTAACCTCAGATTATTGGTACGCTGCAGGGAATGCAAACAAAAATATCATGTATAGGCTTGAAAATCAGTTTGCAACACCTGATAGGAAACATTAGTTGTGTGTGAGAGGTGGGTTTATGATGCTTTACAAAAAAACAATGTCTGAGCAAACTTTGACACACAGAGGTACTTTCCTATGCTAGAAAACAATAACCCCCCCACCCCGTAATTTTACATTCAAAGGGCTCTCCATCAGTCAAACTTATGCATTAAATCTCATCATTTTACTTCCTTTATGTATTCAGCTTAACGGGACAGAACACAGCTTTAGCCAGGCTCGTAAAACACCTGGAAGCGGACCATTAAATCCCACTATAGACTGTTAAGTTTCAGTGTCATTAGCCAGCCCGTTGCGGTGGATCGGAAACAGGTCAATTTTAATGTGATGAAGTATTGATAAGTGCAGGACTCGGTGTGTACAGTTGCATTATTTTAATTAATAAGGCTYACTAATTAGAGCAATTAGGAGTAAACGTGATCAAAAACTAGAAGGGCTGTTATCACGTATTGATTCTCCGAGCGTCGGTTTGATCTCTTCAGACTATAAAGCTGGTGTGGATAAAGAGACAGTGGGTTTGTTTGAATGTCTTTTGATTTGAGAGACACATTTGGAGACGGTGTTTAAAATCAGCCGGTGATTGCGTGTGGTCTTGGATCATTTAGGACTAATCAGAAACAGGGAAGAAGCCTGAAAAATTTCTTCCAAAAGCTTAGAACATATTGAAGTTAAATCTCGTTGAAGGGCTATACTTAAAGTTGGAACTGTAACTTTTATTTCAAAGGGTTTTAGTTTTGGTGGAAGAGGGTTTCCATGTGACCAGATCATATTCAATGGAACTTCTACAAGATGATTAAAGAAGAATGAGGTAAAAAAAAAAATCCAAATATACACAAACCCATATCTTTTCATTCTGTTAGATGTAATTTATTGATATACACTCTGTAAACATTTGATTTGTTC